GATTTTTATGCTGCTAGTGGGAAAGGAAAGCCTATGTTGCTTAGCCATATGACATACGTCACAATGTTGGATAAATTAACAAAACTGATAATTAATGAAATGTAAGTGCTTCATGGTAGAAGTAGAAGCATGACATAATTTAGAGTGCCAAATCTGAGTAGAAAACTCATCTTTATTATCAAATTTTGAAAAACTATTATAAGAAATAGAATTTGATAGCTTGTTACAAATTCTTAAAGTAGGCATAAGCATTTCTCTTTGTAAAGAAACAGAGGCACATATCTGGTTACTGGTTTTGTTTATAATTGCAGCTTTAAAGGATGAGTTATCAAGGCTATATAGTGATCCAAATAGTCTACCAACTGCAAGCACTTTAGCACTCTTTAGGTCCTGTATCAAATAACACTGAGGGTAAAAGATAAAAAACAGGTTAGAGATTTTGACAAGTTTGTTAACAAATAGAAGGTTGTAATAAAAAAAGATAATATAAAACACATCTGTCAAGGTTATGCGAGGGTGTAAGAGAGTACTACTGTAACGGCCCCGGAAAATATTAAAATGAAATGAGTATTTAAATATATCGAATGCGGAAGCGAGATCAAAATTTCATTTAACATCCCTTACACGAAAAACCAAAAACGTACTTAAAATATAAAAGATTAAACTAACTAAGAAAGAAACTCGAAAATAAAACTATGCGTATGACTACAGAGTCTCTAGGCATCCCCTTCGTCGTCCTCCTGCGGAACGGGCTCGGGAACCATATCTTCCTGATCTGAAATGGTTAATTAAGGAGTGAGCTACACTAGCCCAGTAAGAACATCACGATATCTCACCGTCACGGAGATAAAGGTGGGTAAAAAACCACAAAAAGACCAATGGAGCATAATTTACAATAAACTCGTTTATTAACAACAAAACCTTTTATCAATAATAAAACTTTGACCATCCACTTACCTTGGTGGAATTTATGAAAACAATATGAGAAAAACAATAACATTATCATAATCATTGAATAATCTAAGCTGTAAAACATAACACTTATCACGCCTCTTGTAATTCAATCATTGTACAACATATCTTTTTCTCATTTACCAGCCTACTAGTATCCGTGGGGGTCCATAGGGGTTCCGCTACCCGTTAACCTTTAACATTCATAATCAGTTTCCAGGGCCGTCCCCATACCCCGTCCGGTATGGGCGCCAAAACCATGAACCTCAATACCCCGTCCGGTATGAGGGTGAAACGGGCCGTCCCCATACCCCGTCCGGTATGGGCGCCAAAACCATAAACCTCAATACCCCGTCCGGTATGAGGGTGAAACGGGCCGTCCCCATACCCCGTCCGGTATGGGCGCCAAAACCATAAGATCTCCATACCCCGTCCGGCATGTGAGACCACAATCCCGGTAGGGTTCCCTACGGACCCGGTCCGTCCACCATCTCCCAGGATATCTAGTCAGGCTGACCCCCATAATACAATTATCAGTTTACACAATCTTTCATTTTTCCTTTTCCCCAATCAGCATCATCAATTCACATTTAAACAAGCAAATCGTAATTCATACCAAACAGACAACATACAGTATCAGTTTTTCAGTCATTCAACCCATAATTAATAAAAACGTAGTGCATGCACACAAATCTGTAAAATGAACACATCAAACCTCATTTTGCATTTAAAGCTGTAAACAGGCCAAATAACAGTAAATCATCAATCACACTAGACTCGGGCTCCATTAGCTACCTTAAGCAATTTCACACATGCATTAATTCAAGAAATACCGTTTTATCATTTTGAACTTTAATACCGTGATAGGAAATAGGGTGAGGGGTCCTTACTTGTTTTCGGGATCCGAATACGATTCACAGTGCGCCTGCAGGCTGTCCCTAATTTTCCCCTGAATTTTTCCCGGGGAACTGAAACACGCTCACAGTACCTGCACGGGTTCCAAAAAAAATCCAAATTAGGCCCAGGGCCTCTTTCGGCCCAAATCGCAACTCCGGCACGGCGGCTCCGCCGTGCTCCGGCGACGGCGCCGCCGCTGGCAGCGGCGAGTCGCCTCGGGTTGACTGTTTTCGGCCGTTTTTGGCCGAATTCGGCCACACTCGCATTGGTCCTTGTCAGAAAACAACCCTAGGGCCCTCGGGGGGCCAAAAAATCACGGAAAAACGGAGCTTACCGGCGGCGGCGCTCTCGGGTACGGCGACTCTCCGGCGAAGTTTGTGTTTTGGTGATTTGGCTTCGGTCAACCTGTAGAGAAAAGAATGGTGATCACGGTGATATAAAAATTGCATCGAACGGAGGCCGGGAAGGGCCTCGTCGGAGGCAAAAACCGAGAGGGGGCGCGGCGGTGCCGCTGGGCTTCGGCCGCGTATTCCGGCCGTTTGGCCGGGATTTCGGCTTCGATTTGGCCATAGGAGGAATCAGTGGGGAAAAACAAGTCGGGGGTATGAAATTTACCTCGATCGGCGGTCGGAAATTTCCCCGGTGTGGCGGCGGTCGGCCTCTGGTTCGTCTTCTCCGGCGAGCGGCTGGCAGCTAGGGTTTGTGGTCTGGTGTGGAGGTTCTATTTATAACCCCTTGCCTTTTGATCACAGCCGTTCATTTTGTTTTAATCTGGGCCGTTCGTTTTTGATTGAATCTGGGCCGTCCGTGCGATTGAATCTGGGCCGTCCGATTGCGTGATTGATCTGGGCCGTCGGATCGCACCCACGCGGATCGCCAGCGTGGCTCCTTTTGGAGTGACGCGGTCTTGCCACGTGGCAGGCCCTGGTTGGCCGGGACTGCTGACGTGGCTGCTGACGTGGCCGCCCCTTTTTTTTTTTTTTTTTTTTTTTTTCTCCTCCTTTCCGGGTGCTACAGGCCTCATCAAAGGCAAAAACAGAGGGAAGCCGCAGCGGCGCCGCTGGACTTCGGCGGGGTTTTTCGGCTGATTGGCCGGTGGTTTGGCTCCGGTTTGGTCATAAGTGGATTCAGCATCGAAAAACGAGCTAAGGGAAAAAAATTTACCTCGATTGGCGGTCGAAAAATTCTCCGATGCGGCGGCCGGCTTCTCCTGCGTCTGGTTCTTCTTCTCCTTCGAGGCACTGGCGGCTAATGTTTGTGGTCGGGTGTGGGTGGGGTTATTTATACAATTCCTCTTTTAATCTCAACCGTCCATCAAGATTTAATATGGACCGTCCGTGCCTGATTGAATCTGGGTCGTCCGTACGCGTGAGATCTGGGTCGTCCGTGCGCGCAGGAACGGATTTGGGCCGTCCGATCGCGCGCACGCGGATCACCCACGTGACCCATCTCGTGTCAGCGTTCCTTGCCACGCGGCTTGTCATGATTGGCCGGGGCTGCGGACGTGGCACAACTTTTCAAATTGTATTTTGACCCCCCAGTTTCCAATTTTTTTTTTCAAAAATACCCCCAGAATCTAAATTTCACCCATTTTTTCCAAAATCAATTTCAATTAAATCCAAAAAATAATTTTACATAATTTTATCATTATTATTATTTTTATTTTCATTAAATTAAATTAAATTAAAATCTTATAAATTAAATATATAAAAAGTTGAACTAACTTCAAATACGAAAATAAAAATAATAATTTAGGTGCTACATTAAATTACTCAAATTGTGAGGTCAAAGATTATCTTTAGTTAAAAATTGTACGTATATATTTTTCAAAGTCAATTGACCAATACATATATTTGCTTCTAGAGCCCGTACGTACCCTTATGTAGGATTTATGACTTCATGGTATAAATTAAGAGTTTGATATTCAATAAAAATATAAAAATATTTTTATAAAACATATATATATATAAGAATAATATTCATAAAATATTATGCATGAGTGCACGTAAATGAATTTCAAAGGACTAGCTATGGCCGGTGAGCTACCCTCACCAAACATGTTGGGTTGAATTTGGAAGCATAGACATTTTGCCCATTTAAGGAGAAATAAGCTCCAATACTTTCTGTTCTCTCCTAATTATGTTCAAATCAAACTGTAATTAGTAATGGCTGCAAAAGATGAGAAAGAAAAACTTGAAGTTATAACAGCTGTTTACAAAGTTAATCTTCATTGTCCGCAATGCGCTTTCCAGATCAAGAAGCCTCTCTTACGAACACAAGGTAGTTTATATACATTGTTCTTTAGTAAATTTCTGTTCGGTTGATGCGAAAATTGATTGATACATACAAATTGGATATGCAGGAGTTCAAAACGTTGATGTTGATATAGAGAAAAGTGAGATAAAAGTTAAAGGAGCAATTGAGGTGATTAAGATTCATAAGCTAATTGAGAAATGGAGTAGAAGAAAAGTAGAGTTGATATCTCCCAAGATCAAGGTCCAACCCCCCATCCTACCCGAGAAAAAAGTGGTCAAGGAAGTTAAAGTAAGCTCGAAATGTACTTTTTCGTCTAATCCATATATTTTAACTTTTTGATTAAATAGTTGATATTTTTAAATATTTATATATCAGTATAATAAATACTAAATTGATTAACCTAATTACTCAATATATTGTGAAGGAAGTCTCTCGTACAATAACAATGAAAGTTCATATGCATTGCCACCAGTGTGAGCATGACTTGCGCAAGCATTTACTCAAACATAAAGGTGAAAACCCTTCGAAGAATTTTTTTTTTTTTTTTCAGAACCAGTTTATGAAATTTTTTTCATAAATCTTTTAATCTTGATTCAAATAATTTATTTTTTATTAGAATAAGAATAAACTTAAAATTTACTGCAGGAATTTATACTGTAAAGACCGACATAAAAACTCAAATCCTAACAATTCAAGGAACCATTGAATCCGACAAACTTCTCTCTTACATTCGACGCAAGGTTAATAAAAATGCAGAGATTATACCTGCAGTTGTTACAAAATCAGAGAAGAAAGAAGAATCAATTACAAAGAAAGAAAAAGTGGAGGTGACAGTTGAGGGTAAGGAGAAGTCAACTATAAAGTCAACTGAAATGGTGGAATTCAAGGAGGAGACGAAGGTGGCAGCTACTAAAACTAACGATGGTGCAGTTCCTTATTTTGTTCATTATGTTTATGCCCCCCAGTTGTTTAGTGATGAAAATCCAAATGCTTGTTCAATTATGTAGGAGCAATTATTATACGTGAAAAATATAAATTTACGTTACTTTTAAAATTCATTTTACAAATTTAATTTCAGTTTAACTATAAAATTTAAAACAATATGTTTTTAGTGTATGTTCATAAAATTTTGAATATATTATTTCAATATGTATGTAGAATTCAATGTAAACTTAAACTTTTGTTCTTTTTTAAATAAAAAAAATTATAAATTTATAAATAAAGTTGAAACAAAAATATTATTTTTATTCGAAGTATAGCACCATCTGCATATAAATATTTATATATCATAGACGTATTCTAAATATATTCTTGATCTAATTTGAAAATTGTGCAAATTGCATAAAATCCCTAAAAATAATCTCATAAAAAATGTCACGTTTCAAATTTTATTTAAATTAATAATTAAAATTGATAGAATCTGAAATTTTTTATTCTAATTCTCCATAATTTATATCTTAGAAAAAAAATTTACATTATTTAGATGATTTTATATTATAAAGAATTCTTTTTATTTAGTTCAAACATATTTTATTTTTAAATTTTATTTATTGAATGTATAAAATATTAGTCATTATTAAATAAGACCCAATTTAATTATATATATGTCCATGAGTTTAAGAAAAATGTTATATTTATTCCAAACACAACCAAAATTATATTTAAAAATTATTACATCAAGATTAAATAAGTTTAATTAACTAAACTCTCCTGTTAATTTCAGTTAAAATTTTCCAACTTTCTTTAAAATATATGATTTTTGTTTTTTTTTTAAAACGATTTTTGGTGCATATTATTGTAAATTAAATTTTAATATTAATTGTAATATTTATAATTAAATTAATTATACAAAGTTGTTTATTTAAAACGTAAAGATTGATTATAACTTTTAAACTAATAAAATTTATAATAATATATTTTTTATAAATAATTATTATATATTTTATAAATGAACTAAGCATTAGTTGTCAAATAATACTAATAGTTTACTTGCGTAGGCGACCGGCTCTACCGGCTCCTCGGTCAACCTCTCTCCCCAACTTACCCGTATCATAAGAAACTATAAGGAAAAGTTTAATGAATAGTCATATATAAAAACATATATTATATATTATTATATCAATATATACTAAATTATAATTAGAAACAGTAATTAGTAGCAGCTGAGTTTTCCCTTTCTTGTACAACTTATTAAATATTTAATAATGCACCTCATAAATTTAGAATTTTCATGAGTTAATTTGAGATTAATAAATTGTTTAGAGGTAAATATTCTTAATTAATTCTTAATTATTAAAAATAAACAAGTTTTTCAGCTTAACCACGGGTAATTTGAGATTAAAAAGTTAAAAAATACTCGTATTAACCATAGTCAAAGGTAAATTTTCTGCTTCCTTTTCCCCTCTTCAATTCAAATTAACTCGTATTATAACAAACCCAAGAAGAACTGATGAAAAAGAAAATCTCTATCTTCTAAACCAACAGCTACTCTACACATCATGGTGGTTGATTCTCTCTTCGCCATGGAATCCTGATTCCCATCCTCATTCCTAGGTACACCCATAAACCCTAGATTCACAAATTCACCCGCCCAAAATTCACACAGAAGAACAAACATAGACTATTTTATGCTTTTCTTTTTTTTTTTTTTTTCAAGGGGATTCTCATTTTCATTTTATTGTAAATCTTGTTTTTGCTGTGGCTTGTTCCCAGAAGAATATTGACCCAGCTGAAATCATGAACCTTAACTCCGCTGTTTGCTTCAAGAAATAGAAAGAATTGGAAAGTAGTTTGATTTCTCGAAGTCTATAGTTTTTGTCGGATTATTTTTTCGTCGTTGTTTTTGAGTATGCATAGATCTGGAGCCGCGATGGCTTGGAATGTGTTTAAGTTTTGTACGGCTCTACGGGGTCTGGGCTCGATCATGATCCTGCTGGTCCTCGGGGTCGTGGGAGTCACTTACTATGCTGTTGTTTGGACTAATTATGGCCCGGCTCTCTACAACGGTGGCCTCGATTCTGTTGTAGCTCTCGGTATCCTGATCTTGTTTCATTGCTTGGTGAGCTTTCAAGAACCCTTCTTTTCTTGGCTATATATATTTTTTGGGAGGTGGGGGTGGAGGGGTTTAAGGTATTTGTTATGAGTTCTTTAGGTGCTGGATATGTTCTCTCTGATTTACAAAATTTGGAACCTAAATTTTCTTCTCTAGGTATTGACCTTCTTGGATGTTGAAGAATTTGTTTTTCTTTTAATTCCATATGGAGTTTCATATGTGACCGTGGTAGAGATTTTTATTTGAAGCTTGAACGATTTGAATATGTTTTTTATTTGTCCCAGTTTAAATTTCTTTCCATTTTCTGTTTGTTGACTTAGGGCCAAGATTTTGGAGATGTCTTTTTGGATCTTAGTTTTCCTTCCAATTGGTTTAGGAATCAAAACTTACTTCAATTGCTCTGAGTTGCTTTTGCAGTGAAAGTACATAAGTTTTGTTTTGTGAGAAGGGATTTGGAGTTTAAAAGGTACCCTATATCTCTTATTCTGGACATTGTGAGTGCAGACTAGGTAAAGTGAGTGGAATTTTTTTGTATTTTCAGAAATTGATGCCAGCAGGGAGATATTTTTGTGGTGTTTTCACCGATCCGGGCACTGTCCCACCCAATTGGAGGCCTGCTGTTGATGAAGAAAGAGGAGAGGATGCTCCAATAAATGAACCTGAGCAGCCTGATCCCTCAAATCAAAGAATCCGCTTCTGTTGAAAGTGCAACCAGCTGAAACCTCCTCGTTGCCATCATTGTTCTGTTTGTGAGTTTTCATTCATAGTTTTATTAGTAAGTTTTCTTTTTCACTTTTCTTTAACATGTTTATTGACATGGGGTCCAAAATAACTTAATTGTTTCAGGTGGTCGGTGTGTACTGAAGATGGACCACCATTGTGTCTGGGTTGTTAATTGTGTTGGGGCGCTAAATTATAAGTACTTCTTTCTTTTCCTGGTATGTTTGCTCTATTATCCTGAATGAACTTCACATGTGAGTTATCTTTTGAAGGTGACTTCTTGACCAAGAAAGAAACACATTCTTTTAGTTCGTGGCTATTGCATGTATCTGAAAGAAAAGGTGTGCCAAGAAAGGGTTTCTTAGGTTGTGAAATTTGGGGGGGGGGGGGGGGGGGGAGGGGGGAGGGTGACTGGCTTTGTGTTTTATTTTTATGAACTTCTCTGATGAATAGTTTATCATGTACGAAGTGTATTCTTTAGTGGGGATGGATTAGCGTAGAATTAATCTATTACAAACTTTGTTTTCCTTTGGGTGTGTGCTATGCGAAGAGGGACAATGGTTTTTCTTTTCCTTCTGTGGCTTGGAAATGGTAGCTCAATAAGTTGATATTTGGTTGATGCTTGCCATTAATTGACTTCATTTACCTACCAATACATTGATTGGTGGCAAAGTTGTATGCTATATATGTGTATCAAGTCAACAATTTTTAGTTTGTGCAAATGCAGTAGGTATTCAAACCATCAGTTTTCTAATTGTATCATGTCTGGATGGTTATTTATGTCTGTCTGCATCCACTGTGGTTACAAAATGATGGATATCGTTCCTTTTATTATTAATCTTCTGATGCATAATGACAATCTTTATATTTATGTGATATAGATCTCGTCATCTACATGTGGCCCATAAGGATTGTATTATTAACGGGGTTACAAGTTAATTTTGTTTATGATACATTAAATTGATTATGGAACTAGCAGTCTGGATTTGGTATAAAGTTTTATTACAGAAAGAGAAAAAAAAGGAAAAAAAAGGGCAGAAGGATAATCTGAGGACATGAAATAAATATGCTTTTATTGTTCCTCATGCGAGTCACTGAAGTTCTGTTTATTGAAATTGTTGCTTGCCACTTTGTGTACTAACCTTAATTTATCTGATGCAGTTCTACACATTTCTTGAGACAACTCTTGTGACTTTGGCATTATTGCCACATTTTATAGCATTTTTTAGTGAGGAGGAAATTCCTGGAACCCCAGGCACCCTTGCAACCACTTTTCTTGCCTTTGGTATGGTCTAGCTGTACTCTTTTATTATTATTTGTAATATATTAGTTGTTTGAACTTTTTCTATAACTATTGTTGCCCTGCTGCAGTTTTGAATTTAGCATTTGCGTTGTCTGTTTTGGGCTTTCTGATCATGCATGTCTCTCTGATTTCAGCCAATACCACAACCATAGAGGTATCTCTCTTTCTTGCATTTTTTTCTGTACCTTCTTAGCTAAGATTAGAAATTGGTCACAGTTTATGCAATCATCTTCTTTGCCCACATTCATTTACATCCCTGTGGATTTGGTCCTTATTAGTATATAATGCCTGAACTACTTCTTCCACCCTCTCGCTTCGGTTCTGGAGAATTGACATGGCACTTAAAGAATAAAAGAGAGGATGGGATATCCTGTACATTTTCGCTCTTTGCTTATTGCTGTATTGTTCTCTTGTCATACAGGCATATGAGAAGAAGACCTCACCAAGATGGCGTTACGATCTTGGTCGGAAGAAAAATTTTGAACAGGTTAGTTTATTTGGCAGTAAAATGCCGAGTTTCTGCCTCTTAGAAGGTAGCATTTTACATTGTGCAGTGCAGTTAAAAATTTGCTAAAAACAAAAAGTCTACTACTATGATTTTCTTTTGATTTTTTGTTTTTGAAAATTTGGAGCACTGCTAATGATCAATTACTTCTGACTTGATCAACTTGAAGGGTTGGTACTGAGAAACCCTGGGTTGCAGAGGTGTTGTTACTGAATTTTACTGCACCGTCAGCCCATGGTGTGTAGTTATTGTTTGGAAATGTGTTGCTTGTATGGAGATAGAGTCTGGCAATGTGAATTACCTAAGAGCCACTGAGCAGTGAATTATTTGACACAAATTTTATATGTGTTTTTGTCTAATATCATATATTATCATCTTATTTTCTTCTCTGGCTAGCCCTTTTTGTTTCTAGCAATCAATCTGCTATCACCATGGCCCTATGGAGAAAATGGAAATGGCAAACAGACTTCTCAGCTACCTGAACAATGTGTTTTCTGTCTGAATTTCTAGACATTGTATACATTCTGTCCTTTGTGGCAAGCATATGCTCTGTATAAGAAGTTGATTTCTCTTTTTTCAAACCTACTACATCCCTAACAGTCCTTTGTACTATTCTAAACCTAAACATTCTGAGGCCTATAACTTTTGCATTCTCGCAAAAGCTTGGAAAACTGGAATTTCTTGCCAACTGTGCTTAAGAATGCTAAGATAACTGCTATTGGAGTGGGTAATTTTTTCTCAGCCTGCAATACATCTTGAATAAATTTCTGCACTTGTCTGGCCAGTATTTTTGGCATGGCTTGTTTGAGTGCTTGCTTTCAAATATTTTGTTGGCCACATTCTCATTCCAACTTTCAGAGATATTAAAATGTTAATAATTTGATATCTATGCCTGCTACATCATTAGGAACTAGATGTGTGAAAGGGTGAAAGGGAACAGGACATGTATATAGTCTAGTTTTTTTACCCTTTTCACCATTGTGTAGTTCCCATGGACTAGCTGAATCAATCTTTAACTTTTTGAATTGTGTTAGGTATTCGGGATGGACAAACGATACTTGTTCCTTCCAGCTTACTCAGAAGAAGACTTGCGTCGGATGCTAGCACTTTCAAGGTCTTGAATATCCATCGAAGCCCGAATTTTGATTCCAATAGCTCACGAATGTCTCATAGACTGAATGTTGGGAAAATGA